GCGGCACCTGGAAGTTGGTCGCAAGTTTTGAAAAAGAAGCTAGAAGGGTATTGATTTTCATGATAGAACGTATTACACCGATTACATTCGGTTCAATTATCGTTTTCTGTTAATAATTCTAGTGATACATTGCCGCCAAAAATCGTAGCCGTGGATTTGCAAGCGATGGTATTGATTTCATTATCATAATAAGAAATTAATTTGTATATCATTGTATGTTAAAAGATACGTTAGGCACCTCTCGAAGGTGTCATTCAAATCCAAGGGGACATAACAAAATTATCGACGGCCGAACAAATTATTTCTCATTTTGAGGGAGAGCTTGCAGATCTTGTTGTTTGTGATGGAGCGCCCGACGGTGTGTATGATGCTCGAAATATCATGACCATTATAACATTTCATCGATTAAATCTAATTATTTCAAAGTGACGGGTCTTCATGATATGGATGAATATATTCAAGCGCAACTATTGTTGTCGGCGTTAAATATCACGACAAATATCTTGCGTCCCGGCGGAACTTTTGTCGCAAAAATTTTCCGTGGAAAAGACGTTACCCTACTATATGCCCAACTGAAAATATTTTTTCCCAATGTCACTTGCAGTAAACCTAAAAGTTCAAGGAATTCTAGTATTGGTCGGTTGAAGAAAAAAAAAAAAAGAATGTTTGTTTTATTATTTTTATTACCTTACAAATTAAATTATCCACCAGAGGCATTCGTCGTATGCCAGAATTATGCACCACCGAAAGGTTATGTTCCAACGATGATAAACCCTTTGCTTGACTTATCCTATGGTATGTTTTATAATATTGAATAATCCTCTCAGAAAGAGGAGGACGCATTTTCACAAGATCATCTTCCAATGCTTCAAACAGGTTCCGACAATGAATTTTCAAGTCCGAATCGCATGATAGTTCCATTCATCGCTTGCGGCGATTTAAGGTATTAATAAAAACAAAACTCGACACTTTTTTTTCTCAATTCAATTATTGATTATACCTAATTACATGTAGCGGATATGATTCCGATATGACTTATCCACTTGAGGTAATTGAATTTTTACTTTCCATTCTCGTTAATATAATATACAAGCTGTATCGGATTTTCAAATCTAAAACCTCTTTAAAACAGAAAAAAAGCTTAGATCCATTACAACCTCCGATAAGTGCACCGTATCGTACAGCCATCTCTTTGAAACAAAAAAATTTTTACAACAAGGTTTCATAATGTCATTAGAAAAATTAAATTATCTATATTATTGGACATTTTCACGTGAAGGGTATGTAAATCTAATTCTATTGGAAAAATCTACCAATTGATCTTGCTAAATATGGTGGGTTTCCCAGTGTATTCGCCAATCTCTTTATTTTTTGATTTAATGTTATCCATTATTTCCTTTACGTGTGATTTCTCTAGATCATCTCTTTTTGTTAAAATTTCTTCAATAAATCCGATGGGCATGTCACCGTAGATTTTCTTCATTGAATAATAATCCAAAAATATGGATTTCCGATTACTTTCTAATAACTGGTGAATTCGGTGTATTACATCAAATGTATTTTTTAATTCGGACGCTGGTATATGTTGTTGTTGGAAGAATGTTAACGCTGTACCGAGGTCACTACGCGCTCGATCTAGACACTCGGGCTTCTTGAATTTTGCACCTTTATTTTTTATGGCTTCAATGTATGCGATGATAAATCTTTCTAGGATGTTGGACATTAATTTGTCCAATAGATACTCATTCATGTGAGGTTGGAAATCGTTGTCGTTGTAATCTTTGATGGTTTCAATGATAAGCACCATTGGATCCTCTTGGTACCAATTAGGTGTATATAATTGACTAAATGGTAATTTAAGGTCATTAAACACTATATCTATCAACGTGTCCTTGGCCGCTTGTGCAACCATAAAAAATCCATCCATGGCATCATTGAGATCGGTGTTAATTTGATTTCGATATTTCTCGGAAAGAGAATTAGCTAATCGATTGACGATCGCATCGGTAAAATCAGCGCATCGGATTTGATCATTAGCCAACGCGATGACGTACTCCACAAATCCGGGTGGAGCTTCATCGGGCTTCTCGATTTGTCTTTTCAACTCTAAGGTCAATAATTTCATCCATACTTCTTGTGATGCTTTCATAGATTTCGCGCACTCCTTCACCACATCTGCCAGTATTTTTCCTTGCCCTGATTCCGCCGCCACATCAATTTGTTGATTCACCATCTGAAACATAATCACAGATCCGGATAAACCGTATAACTTGTTCGCATCTAACTCAGGTGCTTTACTTCGTTCGACGAAATCCTTGGTCTCGTCATTCATTAAGTTGGTCATCCATTCGTCAAGTTTACGCTTTATCAATTTAATGTAATCATCAATCAACTCTTGTTCATTTCCATTAAGCAAAGGAGGTTCCAAGATGTCTTCAGATATACGAAAATCCTTATTCATCTTCTTGTAATACTGGCGGACCCAACGGATTAATCTTAGAATTGTTCTTGCGTCCGGATCCGAGTTGATAATTTTATCAAAAATATTGTATAAATGTCTATGATACGCTAAAACATAAACCGAGAAGATACTGTATTTTTTGGGAAATCTTGGAACAATCTCCTGATACACCACATTAAGATCATCGTATATGAAATCTGCAGCATCCAACAACTTCATCGTGTCATCGCCGAATTCCGCGTAGAAATTGTCAAATAATTCTGAAATGGAGTCTTGAAGTTTATCCTGAAACTGACTTCGAAACGATTTTATCACGCGCGGACTGGTTTGAATCGATTTGAATTTGACCGCCAGGTCTTGATGGCTGTGTCTCGCATGTTCGGCCGCTGTTGCTCTTTCGTCCGCTCTTTCTTCGGCCTCTATCACCTTGATTAGACAAACGATAACAGATCCTTGACCCTTCCTGGCAAATTCCATGATGTTTTTAGCCAATGTCCAGAGGTATTCGACAAAGTCCAATGACAATTCATCCAATCTCTTGAAATACTGTTCCAACGTAAGCACGTCGCCACCCAAAGAAGAGTTTTTAGCCTGATACATTGTGTTGTCTCGAAATTCTTGTAGTCGAAATAGTTGATAGTGAACATTCAATAGATTTCTTGCGGGTCCATAAACGTTTAGCATGTCCTGTTGTAACAGATTTTGTATCTGATCCACCGTCGAATACATTTCTTGTAATTTTTGAACAGTTTCTTGCGTCGCAACGAAATTACGATGAATTTGAGATATCTAAGAAAAAAAAAATTTTTTTTTTTTTTATCCTTTTCTTATTAGCAAAGTACTTTGTATTTAGGATAAGAAAAATGCAAGGTTTCAATCGTGTCCGTCTACCACCTTATTTATTCTAGGAAAATGTTTAATCATGCCCTGCGCTTCCGAGCATAAACGATCGATGGCTTGCATGTTTTCTTTGATGAGTAACATTTGTTGCACGGAAGTGGTCAAGGTCTCGATCCCCTCTTGTGTGTTGTCTAATTGCACTTTTACTCCCGTCTTTAGTTGAGCATCGATCGTAGCTTTCTCTGTCGCAAGCCTTTTGCGCAACAGACTAGTCTTAACCAGGTCGTCTGGGGATCTTAACAGTTCCGCCACCCTGGAGTTCGCCGCGTCTACGGCGTCACTGGATGATTCCATTGATTTCGTAAACTTGCCACCGGGGTCTTATTACAAACAGTGAATAAAAAAAAAAAAAAAGTGAATTATAATGGATAATACATATGCACGTGTAATACGGTCAGTCGATTTTTCGTGTTCCCACAAGATAAGACACAAAAAATTTCTTACCTTCCTCACAACTGGACATTATTTGCCGAGCTAAAACTGCCATGTCGTCGGGAAACAATAACGGCCTCATAGATAAGGAATTTACGATTCACATAATGGATGATGGCAGTAAGGCATCAACCATCGAGCGCTTTTGCAAAGGTTCGTGCACACTGCAATCGATTTCGAAATTTATTTGCATCTGAGCATTCGCCAAAGAAACTCAACGCGTGAAGGTTTCCAAGTTTCATCTTTTAACGTCAGAACGTTTAAGGTTTCGTGACGTCCGCGTTATTACAGTATACTACCTCATATTTAATAAAGATTATTTAACGCTGCTTTTGGATTTTTCGATAAATTATTCTGAGCATTCTTTCTTTTACTCACAACGCACGTCTCACCTCGCAAACTCAGACGTTCAAGCGCCCGCGGTCAACATACCAACACCCGAGGATTTTTTTGACAAGAACGATCCAGAAAAGCCAGACATTCATTTTTTGAAAAACCATTTTTGTCGCGAAGGAAGAATTTCGGAGGAACATGCATTATATATCATTAACAAGGGCACGGAAATATTAAAGAAAGAAAATAACTTGTTGGAAGTGGATGCACCCATAACAGGTACGGGCTTTTGGCGCATGTAATAGAAATCGCAAAGTTGTACCTTCGTTCCCGATCTGACCATCTGCCGTAAAAATATTTCAAGTTTGCGGTGATATTCACGGTCAGTATTACGATCTGATGAAATTGTTCGAAGTCGGTGGAAATCCTGCCGAGACTAGTTATCTCTTCCTCGGGGATTACGTCGACAGAGGTTATTTTTCGATTGAGGTTCGTATAAACAATATTACACATGTGTAGGTGAATTGGGTGAATGTAATTTCGTTATTTGTACTCAAATATCTTTTTCGAATTAGTGCGTTCTCTATTTGTGGTCATTGAAAATATGGTATCCCAACACGTTGTTCTTATTGCGTGGTAATCACGAATGTCGTCACTTAACGGATTATTTTACATTCAAGTTGGAATGTATGCTTCTTTTTGGGGTTAGGAGGAGTCTTCGTTTCGTTACTCGTCGCTAACTAATAGAAAAAATCAAATGCATAGGCAAGCACAAGTATTCCGAAGAAGTCTACGACGCCTGCATAGAATCATTCTGCGCCCTCCCACTGGCGGCTATAATGAACAAGCAATTTCTATGCATCCATGGTGGTTTGTCACCGGAACTTGAAACCTTGGACGATTTACGTAATGTATGTGCCAAAAGTAATTACATTATCAAAGGTTCAAAGATGACAAACCCATCATTCAAGACGCATGTATTTCTTCACTCAGATTAACAGGTTCAGGGAACCACCCACGCACGGATTAATGTGCGATTTGTTGTGGGCCGATCCTTTGGAAGAATTTGGTCAAGAAAAAACGAACGAATCTTTCATACACAACCATGTACGAGGATGCTCTTTCTTTTTCAGGTACAACTTTTTTTTTTATCATATAATTTTAAAAATTCGCGTGTTCATTAACAACAATCTTATTAATGAAACAGCTATCAAGCGGCGTGCAACTTTTTGGAAAAGAATAATCTATTGTCTATTATCCGTGCACATGAAGCTCAGGATGCGGGGTAAATGATGATGGCAACTTTTGCTCAATATCAAATCTCGATTGTGTAAACTTAACTCAAACATTCGTCTTTTAGGTATCGAATGTATCGCAAGACGAAGACCACTGGATTCCCTTCTGTTATGACAATCTTTTCTGCACCCAACTATTTGGACGTATACAATAACAAGGCTGCGGTGTTAAAGTATGAAAATAATGTCATGAACATTCGTCAATTCAATTGCACACCTCATCCATATTGGTTGCCCAACTTCATGGATGTTTTCACTTGGTCTCTACCTTTTGTTGGTGAAAAGAGTATGTATACTTCGTTTTTGTGGTGTGCATTCGTGTATCTAAAAAAAAAAAAATAATAATAACGAATTAAATTCGCATACATACACAAACACGTGTCTTTCTATATGTATGCACGTATACTTTTCATCCAATTCAGTCACAGATATGCTTCTAGCCATCTTAAACATTTGCAGTAAAGAGGAACTATTAGATCACGAGCTTGCAGTCGAACCCGAGCCTGAACCTAAAGTAGAACCAGGTGAGGGAAGCATACGCTTCAATGTAGCCATCGGTTAAAATGGAAGTGTGATCGACCATTGAAAAGAGATTTGATCCTCGTGATAATCATCTTTTCGTTTGTTTCAGAGCCACCGAGCGATGGTTCGGAAAGGCGCCAGGTCATCAAGAGTAAGATCATGGCAATCGGAAAAATGGC